GCAGCTGTAGTCATTCAACTGAAAGGAGCTGTGACTCAAGGTTCTAAGCAACAGACCTGTCCAGGCAATGCCCCCCAGAAATCCAGAATGATTCTCCCTTTCCTAAATGTCAGATCCCTCAGCACTACATCCGTGTTCCTAACACTATGAGATTTAAACAGCAATTGGACAAACCCAGGGTAAAGGGCCATTTGCAGTTGGGGAAAAAGAGATACTTCCCCTCCCCTAAAGTGTCCAGGGGACTGTGACCGGCACCGTGCGGCGGCTCAGCATCCACGGCATGTCTTCCCATCTGCTCCTGACGGCGCTGACAGGCAGGTGGGTGCCCCCTGCTACGTCACGGGTGCTGCACCAAGCACCTGGCTCGGCATCTCCACTGGTTTGCCCGGTGCTGCTTTGTTACGGTGCTAGAGCTGGGACGGGGGCCGGCCACCCCCACTGGTAACCAGGCTGGCTCCTCCACCGGCCCAGTCACTCCAGGAACGCCGAAGACTCAGAGCCTCGGGTGCCTTTTTCTTCCAAATACAGCTGGCGTCTCCCAACCCGCTCAACCCAAGCTCAGATCGCAGGCAGCTCCCAGGCTGGCACTGTTCTGACAGCATATGGTCATTCGGGACGGATCCCCCCGCAGCTGCTGCCCCCGCCGTCAGCAGGGCGGACGCACACCCGGGGCTCGGATCCCGCAGGCTCAGGTCCTGCGGGCTGCACCCGCCCCTGGCCACAGTTTCCCTGCACAACGGGAACAGCAGGATGAACTTCATGTTTTCAGAGAGAGCAGATTTTTGCTTCTTTCTAAAAATGCATTTAGTTATTTTGGTACTGAAAATGCAAGGAAACAGCCCTATATCTGGATCCAAACACACTGCTTCTGAGTCTTCGAGATTTACAGCATATAAATTACAAGCAGCCTGAGAAAGGGGAATTACCCCCAGCTGTCAGCTCAGACAACCGAGGCCCAGGTAGGTGGCTGATCCAAGATCACTGGATACTATATGGCTGAGCTAGGATGTAAACCTTGTGCTTCTGTAATACAGTTGCTGGGATGGCTGTACTGAAACCTTGTGCCTCTGTATTACACAGTTACTGGGATGGCTGTACTGAAACCCTGTGCCTCTGTATTATAGTTACTGGGATGGCTGTACTGAAACCCTGTGCCTCTGTATTACACAGTTACTGGGATGGCTGTACTGAAACCCTGTGCCTCTGTATTACACAGTTACTGGGATGGCTGTACTGAAACCCTGTGCCTCTGTATTACACAGTTACTGGGATGGCTGTACTGAAACCCTGTGCCTCTGTATTACACAGTTACTGGGATGGCTGTACTGAAACCCTGTGCCTCTGTATTACACAGTTACTGGGATGGCTGTACTGAAACCCTGTGCCTCTGTATTACACAGTTACTGGGATGGCTGTACTGATGGGGTACAAGGGCTGTGGACAAGCTCAGGAACGGTGCGGGCCTGCCTGGCAGCACTAGCTAATCCCTGGCTCCACGCAACACTGAAGGCTTCTCGTTCTCTGGGCATGTGAAATAAGAAGTGCCAGATGGATATGAAAAGTAACAGGTACAAAACTGCCAAAATTCATCTAACATGTACCCTGACCTCCCTGTCCAGCTATTTTCCATCCCTGTCCAGCAGGCCGGGTCTCGAAGGATGTGGGGGAGGCTGTGTCAAAAACAGACACACATACGGGAATGCTATTCACGATCCATGGCAGAGCGTTGGCCTCCAGGAGGCTCAGGACCCAGGTCCCATCTTCACCTTGCCCCAGTGTGGACCTCGCATCCCTAACCAGACCCAGGTCTGCAGGGGCCAGCCGGAGGGCCCTTTCCTGGCTGAAGACGGCATTAGCCCGCATCCCGCCGTGCCTGCCAGCCAAAGCGGCATCCACGGGGCAGCTCAGGAGCCACTTTCCCTCTGAGACGACAGAGGGCGCAGCCTAGGCACGTCCTGAAACCGGTCTCATGAGGGTGTGCTCTGAGACGACAGAGGATGTAGCCTAGGCACGTCCTGAATCTGGTCTCATGAGGGTGTGCAAATGCGATTCATGAAATAACCAGCAAAATGTCCTAAAGTTCCTAACCCGGGGAACTGGTTCATCCCTCCTAACGATGGTCTAGACGAGTATTTTCAGAAGCTCTTAATACCGTTTCTTTCTGGATTTGTGACGATCTCATCATTAGAACGTCTTCACAGCCTTCAAAGAGATGAAATTAGACCCCTCGCCCCAACTGAAGACATTCTTTCCTGTGACCTTTTGTGTGAGGATCAAAGGAATTTTTTTTTTTTTCTTTTGAGACAGGGTCTTCCTCTGACCCAGGCTGGAGTATAGCAGTGCAATCTTGGCTCACCGCAGCCTCGACTTCCTGGGCTCAAGTGATCCTCCCACTTCAGCCTCCCAAATATCCGACAGATGTGCACTACTGTGCCCAGCTAATTTCTATGTTTTTTGTAGAGATGGGGTTTTGCCATGCTGCCCAGCCTGGTCTTGAACTCTTGAGCTCAAGCAATCTACCCATCTTGGTCTCCCAAAGTGCTGGAATTACAGGTGTGAGCTGCTGTGCCCAGCCCAAAGGAATTTTCAATGATGAGTTGGTCCATTTTATTGGCTGAAAACACACTGTTGTTATCCCAGTTTGTTTAGGGACAGTGGGGTCAAGAGATGGCCATGAACAGACAGTAAAAAAGTAAGAGCGCAACCTCATAATAAATGCCACATATGACATGACTGAAAACTGCAAGTGTGAGGGGAAGTATGTAGCCTTTTCCTCATCACTTCAGGAATGTCTGTCCAACCGCACACACACACACGCTGGCACGTCACACAGCCACTGACAACAGCAGACTCGGGTGGGCTCACCAGGCACCGCAGCCTCCCTGGGAGTGAGCTCGGACAGTGTTCTGCAGCCTGCTTGCCCACATGTGCCCCTATGGGCATGCATTTAGGAACACCCACAAGGAGAGTGTGGGCCTCCTCCCGCTGCCTGAGTTCACCTGCTCCGTGGGGCACAGATGACCTCATTTCCCCAGCTCCTCCCATCCGCATGCATTTAGGACACTCCCAAGTGTTTGTGATGCCAACAAGACTGCAATGGACAAGCTCCTCTGTAGAGTGGATTTCTCTAGGGTGGGGAGCCGCTGGGAACATGTTATGAACCCCAGTGCTAACTGGTAACAGGTGAGTGCCCTCCAGAGGGGTTGCCCTAAGGCCCTGTGGTCCCGAGGGCCCTGTGCCCCACATTCCAACTGGGTCACACTTAGCGTTTACCTTCTGTCAATCTGAAGAAATGGCATCGTGAGGACCAGTGGTTGCTGGGACGGCGGGAGGGAGGGCTGAACAGAGAGCAGAGGATGTCCAGGGCAGTGAACCCACTCTGCACGATGCTGTAGTGGTGAACAATGCTACGATACATTTACCCAAAACCACAGAACCGCGACACCAAGCATAAGCCCCTGGTGGACCCTGAGTGATGAGGGACTGTGGACCCTGGCCAATGATGTCAGGCCCCTCTGAGTGGTGAGGGACTGTGGACCCCGGGCAATGATGTCAGGCCCCCCTGAGTGGTGAGGGACTATGGACCCCAGGCAATGATGTCAGGCCCCCCTGAGTGGTGAGGGACTGTGGACCCTGGCCAATGATGACAGGCCCATGCGGGCTCACTGACTGTAACAAACGCACCACTCCAGGACGGGGCTCATGGGGGGGTTGGGGGGGGGGCTGTGCGTGTGTAGGGAGAGGGGTACATGGAAAATTCCGCACTTTTCATTCAATTTTGCAGTGAACTTAAAACTGCTCTAAAAATAAAGTTTATTAATAAAACAGTGCCTTGTTTTAACAGGCAATGTTAGTTGCTAATGAGGCTAAGTTATATGTGTATGAGTTTATTGTTTATTTCTATTTCTTCTTCTGAGAGTTGCCTGTTCATGTCCTTTGAACATCTTCTATTGGGTTGGTTATCTTTTTCGTAGTTCAATAAGAAATCTTTGTATTTTAAGAACATTAATTCTTAGTCATATATACAGGAAATTTTTTCCCAATTTTTCCTCCATAAGTATTTGATACACATATTTCAATGTGAAAAAAGTTATTAAACTGTACCATTTTATTTATTATGGTAACGTCTGGGTTTGTGGCATGTTTGGAGAGGCTTTCCCCATTGCAAAGTAATAAAACTATTCTACTGCTTTTTATCTTAGAGGCTTATAGTTTCGTTTTCATGTTGAAATTCCCATGCATCTGGAGTGTTTAGAAGAGGAGAGGGCCAGCTCTGCGTTTTCCAAATGCCTGCCCACTTATCTCCTGATTCTTTGGTGAATGATCCATTTAGCCCATTGAATTTAAATGTCACCTCAATCAAATGCGAATTTTCCCTAAGTCTTGGAGGACTCTATAGGTTCATACTGAACACATTTCTTAAAGCAATGTTTCTTTTACTTAGCAGGTAACCAGTGAACACAGCTAACTGGTTAAAAAATGGTTAGTTGAATTTTCTTGCTAATCTCGTCTTTCTGAGCAAAATCTAGAAGGGATATTCTTTTCCTTTCCCTTTTTTTTTTTTTTTTTTTTTTTGAGACAGGGTCTTGCTCTGTCACCCAGGCTGGAGTGCAATGGCAAGAATTCAGCTCAATGAAGCCTGGACCTCCCGGGCTCAAGTGATGCTCTTGCCTCAGCCTCCCAAGTACTTGGGAGTACAGGTGCGCACCACCACATCCAGTACCGGCGCGCACTGCCAGACCTAGCTAATTTTTTTATAGGGACAGGGTCTCACTTTGTTGCCCAGGCTGGTCTGGAACTCCTGAGCTCAAAGGATCTCCCAACCTCGGCCTCCCAAAATGTTGGCATTACAGGCGTGAGCCACCGTGCCCGGCTAGAGGAATTTTCTTTTAGCACGTGGCCACAGGCAAGAAGTCTGCTTTGACTTCGGCACCGGAAGTCAGCTGAGCTGCTTCTGAAACGCACCTTTTCCGCGCTGTGCAGCCACCTAAGCGACTCACCTCCACGGCATGAGTCTCCACGCTGATGATGAAGACTTGACCTCCTGAAGCCGCCCACAAGGTATCTTCCATCATGAGCAGACTTCTAACTGGCAGGACGCCTAACTCGATCACTTTCTGAGGTTCTGAATCCCAGGATCCATCTTAAAAGAGAATATTTCATTTCATTCAAGCTGTTTTTTGTACACAGGAACAGGAAAATGGGGTCGCACATCACTTTAAATAACTGACAACCGAAAGCTCACCCCCAGTGTTAACGCTCGTGCCTGGCCCTGGGTGTGTCCGGGGGTTCACAAGCTGACACCCGCCCCGGTCAGGCCGTGGTGCACAACTGGGAAGCACAGACAGCTGCGGGACAGGCAGTCCTCAGGATCCCCCCTCCCCACTGCCTATCCCTTCCGTGTGTGTCCCAGACAAACCACTCATTCACCCTGAATCTCAGCTTCCTTCAGGGTAAGATCGAGACCATCCTACCACTAGCCACAAAGGTTGTTTCAAAAATTAAAAATGAAATAATGCGCGTACAAAGCTCAGCAAAGTACCCAGCACGCAGGTGTTCAATCAATACTACCGTTTACAATAACAGTACATAAGATGATTCGGTCATCATGAAAAGGAACTGCATTCACAGTATAACTGGGGAGATGTTACATTTCCCCATTAGCTGTTTCCGTTCTAACATGTGCCTTGCTCTATACTGCATCACGAGGAGAGGCCATATATTCACAGAATACTTTAAGAAATCAAAATTGAAGTAAAAGGAATTCCTTACTTTTGATGAGTTTGTTCCCTTTCTTGAAGCCTAGAGTCACATGAAATATTCTGGTCTGAAAATATTTCCAAAGATCTACTGACGAAGTCTTTCACACTTTATATCAAGTATGAGTTGCTAGCTTGAATACCAATAAAAATTATTTGAGGCAAGATTTACTACAAACTTTTAAAGTGACTAATGTAATTATCCTATAAATAATTAAAATGAATTCTTCAATTCTCAATTTAACCATTAATTAAGCCATCGACCTTAAAAGTGTAACTAAATTATTAATCCATCAATGCCGTCGACTTCCTAATCAAATAAACATGCTTCACTCAGTCAGGAGAACAGCCTCAGTTCTTATCTCCTTGCTCCAGATTTCAAGCACTGAACCTTTGAATACAAAACAAGTGTCTGAAGCGGAGGTGTGCAGTCACTAAAAGACAATTATGCAAGCTTTGACTTTTGTGGCATACTTTTAGTTATGATTCAACGTTAATGGAAATGCTTTTATGTTGCAATTAGGCTAAAAGTGTTGCAGGGTAATTATTAGCCTCAGTGAACACAGGCCTGCTTTTCATTTGCAATATCTGCACAGGGCCCATTGTATCATTATGTGATTAAATATGCACATGCACCCATGCACAACGCACATGCAAGCACACACACAAGTGCACATGCCATATGCATACACACACGTGCACGTCACACACATACACACACACGCAGGCATGCACATGTACACACGCACTCACCCACAAGTATGTGCACCTGCAGTCACATGCACACATGGACACACACATGTGCACATGTATACTCAAGGCACACAAACCTGCCTGCACACACACATATGCCCTCCCAATCACGTGTGCATACACACATGTGCATACATGCACACACACCTGCTCACACATGCACATCCCCTCACACTCCTGTGCATACACACATGTGCATGGGCCTTCCCATTTGGTACTCATAGCCCTTTAAAGCACTGCACACTGCAACCTCCAGAAATATGTGGGTTCAGGGCAGAGCTACAGTTTTCTCTGACATTCACACACTCTGAAGGGCATGGAGTAGCACAAGAACGCAGGGTTTTGAATCCTAGGTCAGAGCTCTCTCTATCTACTGCCCACTGTGCTTGGATCCTGGCTGTCCGGTGTGGCTTGGCAGTGTCCTACCAATAGCACAATTCCTTTGAAACAAGAACTCCAAGATCAATGACAGGATGGCCTACTTCAGACATTTTGCTTGGTTAAGGTTTAACTTCCAACAATTGAACTTTGTTCTCTGAGCACCTGGGTGGGTCAATCTGCAGTGTGGGCTTGTCTTTCTTGGGATGACTTCTCCCTGCGTATGTGCCCCAGGCCAGAGCCCTCAGCAGGCTGCCCACATCGCAGCTGGACCCAAGCACACGCTAATGACGTTTTGAACTAACACTTAAAAATCCGGAAATTGCCCACAGAATTTCAGATTTTTAAGTCCCTTGAAACATCAGAGCCCTGGCAACAGTGAGGGGCTGGGAAGCAGCCTCCTCTTCCCTCCGCACAGGCCGAGGCCTCCAGCCAGCCACGTTCCCCACCACCAAGAATGCAGTGGCAGGCTATGCGCTTCTGAACAGGCTGCCTCACACTCCCACACGGTACGCCCGCCAGCGCTCGGTGAGGAAGACGCAAAGCGACACGTTCGGCAGATCTCAGTTACAGATCATGCAACGCGTCTGATGAGGCGAAAACACAGCCCAGCACAGGGCTCCGCAGGGGACGGGACAGCGATGCAGACAAGTAAGAGGCTGGAGAGATGCTCGCTAGTAAACCCAGGGGAAAAAAGGGAGACATAAGCATAAAATACATTTTATGTAATACAAGTGTGATTTCTATTCCATTTAATAGAAATGTGATTTCTATTCCATTTAACAGAAATGTGATTTCTATTCCATTTAACAGAAATGTGATTTCTATTCCATTTAATAGAAATGTGATTTCTATTCCATTTAATAGAAATGTGATTTCTATTCCATTTAATAGAAATGTGATTTTTCCATTTAACAGAAATGTGATTTCTATTCCATTTAATAGAAATGTGATTTTTCCATTTAACAGAAATGTGATTTCTATTCCATTTAATAGAAATGTGATTTCTATTCCATTTAATAGAAATGTGATTTCTATTCCATTTAATAGAAATGTGATTTCTATTCCATTTAATAGAAATGTGATTTCTATTCCATTTAATAGAAATGTGATTTTTTCCATTTAATAGAAATGTGATTTCTATGGCATTTAATAGAAATTAGAAGAACAGAAAAAAATCCAGATTATGTGAAAAAGTCCTATCAATACACATTTCTCCACGAAGCTTCATGAAAGAGTTGAGTGCAGAGTGATAGGAACACAGGCAGCAGCAGGGAGGTGGCCTCCGCCTACCGTGGAGCAGAGACAGGATGGGAAAGTCGGCCAAGGAGGCTGGCAGAGGTTATGACAACAAATGAATGACAAAGCAGGACTGGAATGGGAGAGCCCAGCCCCAGGACACACAACCGTCCATGGAGAACTGAAATCATGAGGCCAAGTGAAGAGGGGGTGCAGACCGGAAGCCAGGCCGAGGCACCCACCGGAAGACAGGGAGGCAATCACAGGCCCGCCAAAGAGCCAGGGATCGGCCAGCGATCAGCAGGGTCAGAGTCCAGATGGCTGTGGGGGCGAGACAGGAGCGGCTCCTGTGCTGACTCTGCCCACCGGAGTCAGAAAGAAGACCAGGCCTTCTCGGTGCAGGTGCACACACAGGCCAGGCTGGAACTGAGAGAAGAGACGGACCCTTTTATATTGTTTTACATTGTTTTCTGCTCAGAAAAGGAAAGAAAAGTGAAACAAAAGGCAGGTAGCCTGGCCCCTAGGAACCAGACCTGAAATCAAGAAACCAGACCCAAAACCAGGCTTAGGCCTGCCTGACCTAAGCCTGGTAGTTAAAATTCCACCCCTGACCTAGCAACTGATGTTATCTATAGATTCCAGACATTGTATGGAAGGACATTGTGAGACCTCCCGTTCTGTTCTGTTTCGTTTCACTCTGACTACCGTCGCTGGCAGCCCATCACGTACCCCCTGCTTGCTCAATCGATCACAGCCCTCTCCCGCGGACCCCCTTAGAGTTGTGAGCCCTTAAAAGGGACAGAAGTTGGGCACCTGACAAGCTCGGATTTTAAGACGCTAGCCTGCCGATGCTCCCAGCTGATTAAAGCCACTCCCTTCACTATCTCGGTGTCTGAGGGGTTTTGTCCAAGGCTAGTCCTGCTATAGAACCACATCGCAGAAGGAGGGGCTGTCTCCATGGAGCCAGTGGAGAGAACCTCCCCAAGGAGGAGGCGTCAAAGTCCGAGGGCAAATAACACCCCAGGCTCTGGGAGGGGCTGGCGCAGATTTCTAAGGAGGGAGGAACTCCAATAGCAGCAGGCGGCCAAATGCTCAAAGCAGAGAGAACCAGGGGTGGTTGGAAGGCGGAAGGCCTTGTGGGCAAGGAACAAGGACTGGAGGACTGGAATTCTATTCTAAGTACACTGGGGACTCACCAGACAGTTTTCAGCAGGGGAGGTAAAAACCTTATTTACAGTTTAAAAAGCTCAATAACAAATATTTGGAGAATGAATCAGTAGAAGCACAAGAATGAACGCGAGGCTAGGCTGCCATTCAGGCAGGAGCTGGGCGGTTTGGACTAGGGTGGTGATGGTGGGGGAGTGAGCTGGGACATGGGGCACAAGAACAAGTGGCGGATGGCCTGGGGAAGACGACAGGACCCACCAAGGCATCACTCCCAGCCGTGGGGAGGGTGGCGCAGGGCCGCTTTCGGTGAGGGAAGCCCTGTGTATTCCACTCCGGCATGGCAACGCTGAGACTGGCTGGGATCCAGCTGGGGCTCGGCACCCCTGCACTCAGGGCTGAGTGAGGGGCCAGGAGAGCAGCCTCAGCCAGCACCAAGGAAGCTGGAAGGAAAGCCCCGTACCCAGAGCTCCCACAAGCAGCGGTGGCCAGATCCACAGAAAGAGCCTGCAAAGCACAGCTGCCACCAACGCGGCAGGGGCTGGAGAGAGAACAGATGCACAGCAGCCTGCCCACCCCCAGCGGCTGCGGGGACCAGGCGGGATGGGCCAGGGAGCGCCTCGTCTGTGGCACCCAGCAGAACACAATGCAGTCCTTAGCCCTGTTGGCCAAGAGAACAGCAGGGACCGAGGGCACAGCACCGGGGCAGGGGGCTGGCCCAGGTCCAGGAGGCCCCGCCGGGCAGGCAGGCTGCCCTGCCCAGCTGGTCAGCACAGGACACGCTGAAGGAGGGCACTGCATGGCCTGGCGCCCCCATCGGAGGGTGAGAAACGGGCAGGCCGAGGGAGGGGGAGGGTGGGAGGAGACGGGGAGACTGACTTCTGAAACGATGTCTCTATATTCAACAAACACCTTTTGGGGAAGAAGCAAGGCATACAGGCCTAGGGCAAGGGTGACAAGCGCAGGAGCAGAGGCGCGGGGGCGGGGGCGGGGGGGGTGGGGGTGGGGGGGGGCGAGAGGGGGGCAGGGGGCGGGAGGCCCGGGGGTGGGATGCTAAACCAGATGCAGCGTCCCCCCGAGTGAACCCCGAGGACCCGCCAGGAGGCTGTGAGACCCGCCTCACCTGGGGCCCTGGCGTAGCTGGCGACCGCCCCGTTGACCAGGCCAGCGTACAGGCTCTGAGACGTGCAAGCCAGGCTCATGACTGTGGACTTCTCGGGAGTGAAAAAGTGCTGAAGTCTCACTTTCTTGGCGCCTTGACTGCTTTTATAAATGGAAATGCTTTAAGAGAAAAATACAAGCTCATAAATACATTTGCTCCTTGTGAGAAGAGCCAGGATGCCTATTAACATAAACACAAAACTTTCCAACTCTTCCCTCTTGCCCTTCCTTCTCCATTCCTAGGGACACTTGCCTGTACTTTTAAAAAATTTGCAACCACCTTGATTTCTTTATTTTTAAAAGGGAAATTCTGGGATATATGAAAAAAATTAGTTCTTCCTATGTATCTTGGAACTTCACATCAGGCAAATCATTTTAACTCTCCTTTAAATGGTGTCAGCAATTCAGTATGATCATGACATAGAATATGGCTGTTTTATTCCAAAATATAAGAGGGATGTGCTTTTAAAAACCATTAATAAAAATGAGACATTTCAGTGGCAAACAGCCAAACGTTCCCCTTTAAAGAAATACTACTTCTCTTTAAGAGTTTCCTAGAATAATTTCCATGGGTCCGATTGACTAGTTATTTCAAAGTGCAATGACCCTAAAAATGTCCCCTGGTATCCCCTAATTCCTGCACGAGCTACTCCTGAGTCAAAATCAAGGACTCCTTCCAGGACAGGCTCCCCACCACGCCCTCCACGGGCAGAGCTGGCTGATCCTCTGCAACGCGGTCAGCACACCCTACCTTCCCTCCTCCGTCCCTACACAGATCGTGGGGACCTCAGAAGCTCTCACGGCCGGGGTCTCGGGGTCCAGGGGTGCCCCGGGCTCTCTGCGCTTCTCCTCAACGGGAATGTACAGCATGCAGAGGATGCGAGATTCCACATTGAAGCACTCGATGACTTTGGGGGTGGAATTTTGAAACGAGACGATGGCGATCTGACCCATTTGATGGGTGCAACTTCCGATCTGAATCAGAGAATCAGGAGGAAAAAAGAAAATGAGCATGTGGGGGCTTCCATAATACGCTGGAAACTGACACTTAAAGGCCACGACAAGCTTCGATTTTCATGTGAGAATCAACACACTTAGAAAATTCAAAAAAATGCTTAAACAATTGCTCACGGAGCCCCTTTTTCTTTCAACATATTTAATGTGGTTTCCAAAACATTTTAAAGCAAGAGCATAGCTTCATTTTCACAAAGTCACATTTCTATACTTTAAAAATCATGTACTCATCACAATATGAAGGTAAGGGCCCATCCATCCTCAATTTAAAATCCTAAGAGGCAGATCATTATCAATTTTAATAACAACACTAATGTTTAATGACCTTGGTTAAGAAAATAAACCTTTAAAATGTGAAAAACACCAATAAGAATACATACCAAGGTAGATCATTGGAATTCAACATGTGGTATGCTGTGGAATTTCTTTTTTTTTTTTTCTTTTTTTTTTGGAGACAATCTCACTCTGTCACCCAGGCTGGAGTGCAATGGCATGATCTCAGCTCACTGCAACCTCCACCTCCTGGGTTCAAGCGATTCTCCTGCCTCAGCCTCCCGAGTAACTGGGATTACAGGCACATGCCACCATGCCCAGCTAATTTTTGTATTTTTAGCAGAGATGGAATTTCACTATGTGAAAGTACAGATGGGGTTTCACTATGGTTGGCCGGACTGGTCTCAAACTCCTGACCTCATGATCCACCCGCCTTGGCCTCCCAAAGTGCTGGGATTCCAGGCGGGAGCCACTGCGCCTGCCGGAGATTTTCTAAAGTAGCATTGCTGCAACAGTGTACATGAACTTCCTGTGTGTTTGAATCTCTACAATGAGAACACATAGCATAGTTTCCCAATTTAACCTCAAATTTATTTATTCATTTTTTAAGTGGGAAAGGGTCTGATCCCTGTGCAATTTAACCTCAAATTTATTTATTCACTTTTTAAGTGGGAAAGCGTCTGATCCCTGTGAACAGAAAGCACTAGCTGGTTTAGGGTGGCATTTTCATTGATTCTTTTTCTTTTCCGCCAACTTTGAGAATGTTGTTAGACTCTCCTTATTCTTCCTGTATTTGCTGATGCTACATACAGACATCCTACTTTCATGCTTTTGTGGGAAGGATGCCAATCTGCCAAGCCCCTGTCCTGCCTACAGGGCCTGGGGGCTGTGACCAGGCCAGGGGATGAAGCTTCAGCGATGACAGGTCTGCCTACCCGGATGGAAAACGGTTCTCTTGGAAGTGGAAACCCACAAGGGAATTAAGGCTGCTCCTCCATTCATAGGCTGGTACAAATGAAATACCAGGTAATTCGGTTGTTCAGTTTCTGACACTCAACTAGGAACACCGACCAAGCAGGAGCTGTGGCTGTGAGAAGTGAGAGGCAGTGGCGTGCTGCACAGGATGCCTGGGAGGGAAGCATGAGAGTTTGGAAAAGCACAGTGGAGCCCTGGAGGGCGAGTCTGAGGCTGCAGGGAGGGAACACAGGAAACCAGAGACGGGAGAGCCTGGGACCACACAGCTCTAAGAATGTCCTCTGGTTTGCAGAAACCAGGAAAGTCTACTGCAATTCCAGCCTAATTTCAGATGCGATATTTCATTTGGAACAAATTAATTTTAACTGCTAAGTTTCCACTGGAAAAAGCCAGTCTTGGAACAAGAAAAAAAATCCATGCAATGTTGACACCAAAATGGAAAAACATATTAAAATTATTCTCTTATTAGTTAGTTGTCTTTGGACTGAACTTTATCTGGTAAATGTTTTAGATGAAAAGGAAAAGAAACAAATATTTGCATTCCTAAGAACTCTAAATCTTTTCCAAAAGTGATCAGCTCCTTTTCAAAGAAGTTTTCATGTTTATAAGTACACTCTGAGATATGCCACCACCAACTCTCTACTGAGCAATTCACATCTCAGTCTCTCATCACACTAACCATGAATGTTGATTCTCTGTGAACTTGCACCAAAACCAAATAAACACATCTTACCCACAGGAAACCATGTGCCGTGGAAAATGAATCTGGCTGGCTTTCATTGTTTAGGTAAGGTTCGGGATTATAAGCAGCACATTCAATCTAAAATGGAATAAAATCAAACACTCACATATAAAACAGAGCTAAGAGGCCCCTAGACTACCTAACGTCTTAAATGGATGACTTACTTCCAATGTATAACCACAAAAAATTACAGGTTCATCATCTACCAAAGATTAAAATAGGGAGGATAAAAGTTTAAAAGTACAACTCTCAGAAGTTAGCTTTTTAGAAGCGAACACCTAAGTAGATTCAACCTTCGGTATCTTACTCTTCAGATCGCATCGGGCACTTCAGATGGGAGGGCTCGCCCTGCAGGCATCAAGTGCAGTCTGTGATGGCCTGTGCCTCTCCCCCTCCCTGTCCCACCCCAGCCTCTCCCAGAGGAGTCCTGTGCACTGCCTGAGACTCCCAACGGGAGGGGTCCGGGAACTGCTGGGAAACCCTGGCCAGAGACCAGGGTGAGAAGAAACATCTTTATTTCTTAAAGAATAGGACATCGTCCACATCACTGAAGGCCCTGGCCTGTGATGCCTGAGTCAGCAACACTGGCAACATTAATAAGATGCCACCCTGGAGATGGAGTTGAGTCCGCCAAGGCAGAGAGCGGGCATGGTGCCTCAAGCAGACAGGAGACCTGGAGTTAACGATCCACTGTGGAAACAGACTGCTTGCCAAGCAAAGGCAAAACAGAGCTACAAATGTGAAACATGTGTCCCGTTTAACTAACAAGGCCTCAGACGCTGTGGTACTGCTGGAATACCCGAGGGTCCTGGCCCAGGACTGGGCTTCGGAGACAACGGCTGGGCATTTTTTTAGGTTTCAAACAACAGCAGTCTTATTTCCAAACAAATGACCTCTAGAGAAGCGGTCACTGTGGTGAACCTGGGAAGACCACGTTGTGACCACGCCCCTTAAGAATCATCCCAAAGTGGCCCAGTCAGAGCTGCGAGGTGCACCCCACCCCGGGCCGTGGGCCCTGCTCCCTTCACCTTGAACTCCTGCTGCTTGGCCACCATCACGGGCATATGTCCGACAAGGAGAGGATGCTTCTCCTTTTTAATGTGATTCCCATCGTCTTCCACACAGAACCAGCCCATGTGGTTCTCCTCTTCTGCGATTAGATTCAGAGAGAAATGAGCAAGAATGCAGTCAACTCACACACAACAGACCTGCTTCACAGGTCACAGCAGGGGAAGTTTCTGGCATTCTGTTTGTATTGGGCCAGACAACGCCATTGTGGAAAACAGACAATCTCTTCTAAAAGCATAGGCTGTATATTCGCAGCATTATTTTAGGAGGCAGCCTGGTCTCATCTAAGCGGCAGGGACCTCTTCCTGTTTGCGCCTCCTGAACACGCTGGACCCAAGGGCTGTGAAACTTCACTGTATAAACCACATAGGTCTACTTCCCTTTGTCGTTCTCCAGTTTTTCCAAAGCAAAAGAAATGTTTAGATTCAAATACCAGAGATGTACTGAGAAACTCTAAAATATGGTGTAATACTATGGGATCAACAAAAGTACAATGAAATGGAGAAATATTTTACTACCAAAGCAAACTGTCAACCTGAGCATTAAAGAATATGTAGCTGATCTGAAGACAAAGAGGGGCTTATCCGCACGTCCAGCTCATTCTCTTTAGAGAGTGGCCACTTCCTCATTTGCTAAGTCACTCTGAACCTGACCTGGCAAACGACCAAATTATTCAGCAAATGGAGAGGGGCTGTGTTTCTGCTTCCTCATCAAGTGAGCACAACGTCAGGACAGCTTTCCCTTCCAGGACAAAGCCCTTCCGCTGATGAGAGCTCCCTGGAGCAATGGCATTACCCACACTCTGCACTTCTCTTCTGTATTTTATACTCCGTTAACATTTCAGACTATCTACAGCAGAAGGAAAATTTTACACACACACGACATCCCAGTGTGTTCTGGGTAGCAAGTCTGTAAGCGTGTGTATAAGTACATTACACACACCCAGCAAAAAATAATCAAGGCTGAAGAGACATAGGAACAAGGAAATCATAAAGTCACATCCATCTACAGTGAAACCCTAGGGTTTATCTTTGGTGCTGAGAGGATCTTTACTGACCCCTCAGCCCAACCCTGTGTTTTGCTTCTCAGTGAGGGGTGAGCACAAGGGCCAAGAGGAACAACGACCTCCCCTGCCATTTGGAGGCCGCTGCCCACCGCCCACTGCCCACCGCCCGCCTTGAGCACCTGGCACATGGTCAGGCTCCATGGGCTTCCTCTGTGTTCAGCTGCCTCAGCTGATATTCATGTTCTGGTACCAGAAACACCATCCATTTTAACACAAAACCCCTCCATTTTAATATGCAAGCCCTCCATTTTAATATGAACATCTTAAAAATCACCGGTGCTAAGGTGAATTTTCCTGTTTAGAAACACTTTCGGGTCAATGGATGGATCTACTGCTGAGTTTCCTTCTCAACCCTGACCTCACCCTTGTGGGCAGGAATTCATCATCACGCCGCATGCCTCATTCAGCCTCAGTCAGCCAGGCCTTACCCAGGGCGAGCTTGGCCATCTGTAAGCTGTTGACCCAGGACTCCTTGATGGCCGGGGTGAACGTATTGAACACAGCTGTAAAGAACGTCGGTCGCCCAGATCTGCCAGAAACAACAGACAAGCATTCACTTTATAAAACGTGCTCCATCCTGTGAGGTTAAATGACACATTTTGCCTGTCTGATAGAATCAGCAAACCAAAAAACATGCATGTCATGACAAAGAACCATTTTTTTTCCCCAGCATTGGCCAAGAAGGTTTCGTTTTAAAGCTACTACTAACTTGTCCTGCTTCCCCGGGAGCTGTAACTGAATTCTGCAGCAGTCCGCAGCTCTGATTTCATCTTCTTTCTTCAAAATAAGCCTTTGTAAACCTGATGTCCAGTCATGGGCTACTGACTGGTTTAAGTTCTACAAAGGAAATAAATACGCACATTTCAAAAGTGTTTAAAAAGTAGGGCCATCCCAAGGAAGATAAAAAAAACAAAATTTTAATATGAGAAATTCAGACCAAATGAAACTATCGGATTATGAAAAAGAAAGCTTTGGGAGTCAGATGACATTGGTGGGGGCGGGGCTGAGACATTTCTAAAATAGAACTGATATTCAAGCCTATTGGCAAAATGAAAAAAAGTTACCATCATATAGTCTCACCTTATCTAACATAAGAGAAAATGTACATTCAGATTAATTTTTAAAGTCAAAGTGAATTCTCACTTCTGGTAGAACTTGGAGATATAATCACATACTTACAATGACTTACAAGTAAAGGCAGAATCTTAAATCCAATTGCTTTGATTGTTACCTGATAGTTTCCTTTAAGGTTTCCTATCAGCTGAGTGATTTGACCAATTACATTTAAGTCATGCAACAAGTTTTGTAAATCTTGATACAGTTGTCCTGGTCCCATGTAAACTTTGTCTACAAAATAAGCAAAAAGAAAAAAAAAGAATACAAATGTAAAGCCATATTTACTCCAATACTTGAGGGAAGAAAATACTATAATACTAGTTAAATAATTTTTAAGTTGAGGGGTGAATCTAGAACTTTTAAAAAGTGGACACTGTCAAGCATTTAGTGGTTTTTCCTTTTCTAACATTTATGTAGAAATAATTTTAGATGGAAAAGTTGCAAAGAGCTGCCTCCTGAGTGCCCAGGCCTGGCTTCCCCGAGGAAAACATCTGACTTAAGCGTAGCATGACCGTCAAACCCAGGACACCACATTGACATGGCACTCCTGACTGATCTACAGACCGTCTTCAAACCTCACCGCTTTCGCACGAATACCATTTTCTAGTCCCGGATCCAGCCCAGGGGCTCGCACTGCGTTCAGTGGTCACGTCCCCAAAATCTCCTCTAGTCTGGGGGAGTTTCTCAATCTTCCTCTTTTGCGACCCTGGCATTTTTGGAGGAGGCTGGTGAGTTACAGAATGACAGAGTGTCTCACAATTTGGGTTTGACTCATGTTTTGTCCCTTTTGTATCTTTTCAACACTGTTGACATAACAGCTATTAGTAAGAGGCACTTCAAAATGATATTTAATCTCAACCACATTTCCAATAACTGGGGTCATCTACCATCAAAAAGAGTTCCCCAGTGATCTTTCCTAAAGTTTTTTTTTTTTTAAAGGGAATAGAAATGATTTGTCTTCGATGACTTGGGTTAGAGGAACGACGCATGTCCTGGGGTCTAGGTGCCCAAGTGAGAATTGCTCCACCCCTCACAGAGGGTTTCCTGTGCACTACAGGAAGTGATGTTCAAATACTTCCTCATTAAATCCCACGACGGGCCCACAGGCACAGAGGACAGACTCTCCCATCTCCCCACCTGACTGATGACAGATGAGAAGGATTCGATCTCAGAATTAGCCTGAGTGTCTGTACTTTAAGCAATATGCAGTAATACACTCCTTCTTTTCCACTTTTCATAGAAATAAATTGTCTAAGGTCAAACAACCAGTAAGAGAAGGAGCCAAAATTCAAACCCAAGGAGAAGAAATTCACTTAAGTTGAGTAAGGTGCCTTGTGTTTCAGCCGGACAGGCCTCCCGGCCGTGGGTCTGTAGAATTGCACAGACCTGAGCATAGTGGAATCGCACAGACCTGAGCTTACACCGCCCAGAACTTGGTTTCAGGCTCTGACGTGGACATTCTGAAATTCTTTTTCTTTTCTCTTTTTTTTTTTTTTTTTCGAGACGAAGTATCGCTGTTGTCCCCAGGCTGCAGTGCGATGGTACCATCTTGGCTCACTGCAACCTCTGCCTCCTGGATTCAAGCAATTCTCCTGCCTCAGCCTCCTGAGTAGCTGGGAATACAGGCACCTGCCACCATGCCCAGCTAATTTTTGTATTTTTAGTAGAGATTTAGTAGGGGTTTCACCATGTTGGCCAGACTGGTCTTGAACTCCTGACCTCAGGTGATCCGCCCGCCTTGGCCTCCCAAAGTGCTGGGATTACAGGCGTGAGCCACTGCGCCTGGCCTGGACATCTTGAAATTCTTAATAATTTTGAAGAAAGGACTCTGCATTTCCTTCTGTGCTACATCCCACAAATTATGCAGCTTGTTCTTTTAGTGTAGGTAACATATATAATACATATATATGTCAAAACTGAAAGAACCTACATATTTCCAATAAAAATATTTCAGATATATGTATCTAAAAATATTTACTATATAACTGAAGAGTAGCATAACCATTTATAATTTTGCAGGCACTTTATGTTAAAGACAAGCTTATGTGGTATTTATGCACATGGTAGGCCTGATTTTTATCCACTATCTAGACAAATTCAATTACTAACTGCATTTGAAGTCTCATGAAGTTTCATAAAAAAGGGAGCAGCCAGGCACAGTGGCTCACTCCTGTAATCCCAGCGCTTTGGGAGACCGAGGCGGGAGGATCACCTGAGGTCAAGAATTTGAGGCCAGCCTGACCAACATGGAGAAACCCCGTCTCTACTAAAAATACAAAATTAGCTGGGTGTGATGGCACATGCCTGTAATCCCAGCTACTCGGGAGGCTGATGCAGGAGAATTGCTTGAAGAGGGAGGTGGAGGTTGCGGTGAGCTGAGATCACACCATTGCACTTCAGCCTGGGCAATGAGAGCTAAAGCCCGTCTCAGAAATGGAAAAAAAAAAAAAAAAAAAAAGGGCAAAGTGATCCAGTAGTTACACATAGCAACTTTATGTATGCTTACAGAATGCTTGCAATTTAAAATGTTTTGTAACACACATATTTGCTTTCATTCATAAACTCTGATAATAAACTCTATAAACACAACCTTGTAATACAAGTATAGGCTGGGTGTTGTGGCTAATGCCCACAATCTCAGCATTTGGGAGGCCAAGGTGAGAGGACTGCTAAAGGCCAAGAATTCAAGACCAGCCTGGGCAACATAGTTTTAAAAAAACAAAAACAAAAACATAGAGTTAAAAAAAAATTAGCCAGGCACTGTGGTGCATGCCTGTAGTCCCAAATACTTGGGAGGCTGAGGTAGGAAGATCACTCAAGCCAAGGAAGTCAAGACTGCAGTGAGCTATAATTGTGCCACTGCACTCCAGCCTGGGCATCCAAACAAGACCTTGTATCAAAATTAATAAATAGATGAGTAAATAAAATTATAAGCGCAATGTTTATTAATTAGTTGACTTCGTTTAAAATATGATCTTCACAATTATCATTCAATCAAATTGAACCTTCTATTTTTGGTGTGCAGCTCTATATATTCTCACACATGTATACATGCATATAAACATCTCCCCAGTAAGCCTGAGGGGGAACTCCAGGGCACACACAACAGCTCCATCACCCACAGAACAGCTCTATCACCTACGGAACAGCTCCATCACCCAGAGAACAGCTCCATCACCCACAGAAGAGCTCCATCACCCACAGAACAGCTCCATCACCCACAGAACAGCTCCATCACCCACAGAAGAGCTCCATCACTCACAGAACAGCTCTATCACCCAGAGATCAGCTCCATCACACACAGAACAGCTCCATCACCCACAGACACCACCACGAACAGCTCCATCACCCAAGAATCCATCACCACAGAAGAGCTCCATCACCCACAGAACAGCTCCATCACCCACAGAACAGCTCCATCACCCACAGAAGAGCTCCATCACTCACAGAACAGCTCTATCACCCAGAGATCAGCTCCATCACACACAGAACAGCTCCATCACCCACAGAACAGCTCCAATACTCACGGAACAGCTCCATCACTCACGGAACAGCTCCATCACCCACGGAACAGCTCCATCACTCACAGAACAGCTCCATCACTCACAGAACAGCTCCATCACCCACAGAACAGCTCCATCACCCACGGAACAGCTCCATCACCCAGAGAACAGCTCCATCACCCAGAGAACAGCTCCATCACTCACAGAACAGCTCCATCACTCACAGAACAGCTCCATCACCCAGAGAACAACTCCATCACCCAGAGAACAGCTCATCACTCACAGAACAGCTCCATCACTCACAGAACAGCTCCATCACCCAGAGAACAGCTCCATCACCCACGGAACAGCTCCATCACCCATGGAACAGCTCCATCACCCACAGAACAGCTCATCACTCACAGAACAGCTCCATCACCCAGAGATCTGCTCCATCACCCACGGAACAGCTCCATCACCCACAGAACATGTGGGATAGTCACAGGGATTCACAGGTGCACAGATTTCAGTTCATTGGGAGGAGTAGGTTCAAGAGGTCTAGTGTAGTTAATAAGGTATTGTATACTTGAAAATCACTAAGAGTGGACTTTAAGGTTCTCACCATGAACAAATGGCAAGTGTGTGAAGTAAGGCATATGCTAGTTAGCTTGATGTAGCCATCCCACAATGTATACATATTTCAAAACATCATGTTTTAAACTGTACATGTATATGATTACTTGTCAATTAAAAACATAAACGTTTTTAAAACACACACACACACACACACACACACACACACACACACACATAGTGCCACTGATGTGAAACTATCACAGGAAGGGATAATACTCTTTTCCTAGGGTATTAAAGAACCTTCTGTACTGAGATAAGGAGGAGTTCCTCAACCTTACGGAGCATGGAAATGTGCTGAAGTTTTACGTCTGCCGGATCATCAGACAGTTCATAACAGGGCACTGTCAGGGCACAGATGACACCACGGAGCAACCCAAGGCTTCCTCATCAATAGGGACAATGTGCGCTGCCAAGGGAAGCATCCACACTCACATCCCAAGAATAACAACAAACCACACAGTGCGGCCAGTGCTTTTCAAATGTGATTCTCAGTTTCAGAAAGAATTGTTTCATGCTGATTTCAGGCCAAAATTGATTAAAGAAACCCCTGCAGTCCAGGCGCAGTGGCTCACACCTGTAATCCTGCACTTTGGGAGGCCGAGGTAGGCGGATCACTGGAGGTCAAGAGTTCGAGACCAGCCTGGCCAATATGGTGAAACCTCGTCCCTACTAAAAATACAAAAAAAAAAAAAAAAAAAAAAAAATAGCTGGGCGTGGTGGTGCACACCTGTAGTCCCAGCTACTCAGGGAGGATGATGCAGGAGAATCACCTGAACCCAGGAGGCAGAGGTTGCAGTGAGCCAAGATCACACCATTGCACTCCAGCCTGGGCAACAGAAGGAGATTCCATCTAAAAAAAAAAAAAAAAAGACAGAAAGAAAAGAAAAAGAAAGAAACCCCCCACAAATCAGAATTTCTGTTAGAGTTGACTTCCAGCCCTCTAGTTGACAATTTCTGGAGTTTTCAGTTCTTTGTCGCTCCAGTGACACACAATTGCTGCACTTCTGCAAAAGCACTTCCCGAGTCTTTCTCACGGACACTTCTCTTGTTTCCATGGAAATCCCTGCAATCTGTTTGAAAATTCAGGGTCTGTCAGTGAAACGGAATTTTGTG